TTGATTGCGCCTGCGCTGTGACTGCGGCGACCACGGGGCGACCCGCGTGTCGACCCTGTCAATTACTACAACTACACGTACCTGTAAGTTTCCAGGTATTTTCGTGATTGTATATTTTGCTATTTACGTGGTTAAAGTTGAAATGACATACGGGGAGTATGCCATTGATCACTTCACCTCATTGACACGCTTGGACAGCCAGGCTGCAGTTGTTAATAGGAATAGGTTATTTTGACGTACTATGTCGTTCCTTTGTGCGAACTTGAGTTCCAGCTCTACGGACATAGAATTATTCACTACACACTGTGCCAACCGAACTTAAGAGTACACAGTGTTGTATTTGAAATTACATGTTACGAATGCTTTATATAAAATGTGCTATGCTTAGTTTGAAAGAAACGTTAGAAGTATGCCAGTACCGTAACACAGAAATCTGTAAGCTCCGCCTACCCGACTGCGTGTTATGAATAGCTTCTGTAGTGGACGCTTAATTGATTGTTTGTTTGTGTTTTTTAGCAATGAATGAAATATTTGTATTGATCAGCTAGTTTAGTCATCGTGATGCAGACAAGGCCGTTTTTTGCGAAAGGCAAAGGCGAATGGTGGAGGCACATAGTCTACCTCTACTTTAACGATCATTATTAAACGCTTGCAGCCGAGATTCAGTGTACCTCATTGGCGCAGGTCACGGCTAGTCCCTTTGACATGGAAAAATTGCTTTTCTGTGCTGAATATTTAATGAGGCGCATTCTTGGCTCTGGGAGATTGTAATAGGCCGTGGTCCATCTGTGAATCTTTGACTGTTACGATTTGCACGTCTCCATGAGGGCAGGAGCGCTTTGTGTCTCCTAAAAATATGTACACAAAAAAAGATTGGCGGAGCATAGTAACTTTCATTGATTTCAATAATATTATAGAATTTTGTTAAGTAAATAGGTACAGTCAAGAGCACGTCAAGCTTGACACTTTGTGTTTTGGACCGTTCTTATAGTAACCGGCAAGAGTTGGATTTAAATCTTAAGTGTCAAGCTTGACCCTGTACGTATGTAAAACAGCGGTGCGACGTGTAGACAATAAAGATGTTTAAAGAATATTTGTATATCAGATGCGACGGTCCCACAGTAACAGTTGTTTATTTTGGCTGCCGAGCAAAAGGTAAAAATTAAGATATAAAACTGTTCTGCAATGAAAGTTCGCCGCCCGATTTCATCACAAACGCTGCTGGTATTCGCTTCACCAACCTCGATTTGCATCGAGCCGCAGGGCCCTTGTGACAGGCTGGGTTGCCGTTTGCTATTCTAATTAAAGGCTTCATCATGAATGGCCATGTTCACAGCGTGACGGTGCCTGTAGCGGTGGGGGAAGGGGGTATGACGGCCTGACTCAGCGCTGATACACCGTTGTAAAAACACACGCGACCTTCGCCCCTCTCCGCCTGTCTCCTCCGCCGGCGCCCGCGCAGATAACATGGCGGAGGTCGCGCCGATGAGCCGCGATGACACCATTCCGCGCAGCCTCGCATCAACTCCCCCTCCCCACCACCCGGCTACGGCCAGGTAGCAGCGAGCGACTCGTTCTACCTGTTCTGGCGGGTTAAGTTAACTTGAGGAGGGTGCAGCTATGGAATACGTTGGTATAGGTTACATTTCCCGCCACTCGTTTAGTAACATGTAGCGAGCATTCTGATAGTGCCTTTGTACCAAACACATTGTAGCAAACGAAAACAGTACCAGGCGAGAAAAAAAAACCTAACCTAACCTAAGCCTTCTTCTTAGTCGGGTCTCGTACACGTGCTCAACAGTAGGACATGCACCTGTTGCTTCAGAAAGCTCGAGTACAAATTAGAATAAGAATCAACAATGGTCACAGTCGGTGGACTGTGACCATTGTGACTAGGTAGAGACACGGGCTCTGCAAAGGGACATAATACATTTACGGGCAATAAAATCGAGCAGGTAACAGAATAGGGTCGATTGCCAACTAATTTTACTATCAATGTGTAACCAAGTGTGTGTGATTCAATAGTCAGATATAAGTTGTGATTTAAGCAGCCTAGTCGCAGAAACTAGGTCCCCAGTTTTAATAATGTAAATTTTATGGTTCGCACTAGGAAAGCCTTGTTTTTGCGGCATCATTTTTGCTGATAGTGCCATGACAATGAGGTAATTTAATCAGTTCTGGTCGTAACATTGTAGAATCAGACGCTTCTTCTGTCAAAAGATATCGGAGATACATGTTAGTTCCTAGATAAGTACAGGTACGTAGAGAAATCATTGCATATATATGAACATTTTTATCTGACAAAGATCTCCACTTCGCTTCTTCTTTCTATGATTGCTCGTGTATATGACTGTATAAA